TATATATATGTATGTCTGTATATGTATATATATATGTAAGTATGTGTTGTGTATATATATATGTGTGTGTGTGTGTGTGTGTGTATGTATATACATATATATGTGTGTGTGTGAGTGTGTGTGTATGTATATATATATATATCTGTCTGTGTCTGTTTCTGTGTCTGTGTCTGTGTCTGTGTTTTTGTGCCTGTGTGTATGTCTGTGTATATGTACGCATGTATGTACGCATGTGTGTGTGTGTGTACGTATGTACGTATGTATGTATGTACATAGTCATCGTTTACTCGCTTTCATATATTAATTGCATCATGCCGCACCCTCATATTCCATTCAATCCTGTACAGAGTTCATCATACAAGAATTGCTCAAGAACTCTATCCGAGCCACCATGGAAGCCCATGCCGCCCGCATTAAGGCCGATCCAGACAACACCCAACCCGAGGGGCCTCCCCCTATCATTGTCACCTGCAGTCACGGTGAAGAGGACTTTATCATCCGCATAAGTGATAAGGGGGGGGGTATAACCCCACTGGACCTACCGCATGTGTTTGACTATTCATTCAGCACTGCCGTACAGTCGCATGTGCCGCATATGAGGTGAGGTGAGGTGTGGGTGGTGGATGTGGGGCACGTACTCAGGGCGTGCGGGTGCTGGTTAGACGGTGCGTGGGAGTGTGTGGGGCATATATCTCGTATGCCGCACATACGTTGTATGTATATATAGGCATAGACATCATAGATATCGACATATAAATATACATGTACTGTACATATATATATATATATATATGTCCGTGTCCGTGCCCGTGCCCGTGTCCGTGTTTGTGTCTGCGTCTGCGTCTGTGTCTCTATCTGTATGTATATATATATATATAGACGTATGTATGTATGTAGGTTTGTACTTATGTATTTGTGTATGCATGTGTATGCCTATATATATTTATTTGTTCGTGTAGGTGGGTGTGCGTGCGCGTGTTTTATACAGCTATATATATGT